CAGCAGTGGAACTCTCTGCCCCGGAGGGAGTGTGGTGGAGGCTCCTTCTTTGGAGGCTTTTAAACAGAGGCTGGATGGCCATCTGTCGGGCGTGGTTTGAATGCAATATTCCTGCTTCTTGGCAGAATGGGGTTGGAATGGAATCCAACTCTAGGAAGAACTTCCTGAGCCGTTCAGCAGTGGAACTCTCTGCCCCGGAGGGAGTGTGGTGGAGGCTCCTTCTTTGGAAGCTTTTAAACAGAGGCTGGGTGGCCATCTGCCAGGGGTGCTCTGAATGCAATATTCCTGCTTCTTGGCAGAATGGGGTTGGACTGGATGATGGCCCAGGAGGTCTCTTCCAACTCTAGGACTAGAACTTCCTGACTGTGAGAGCCGTTCAGCAGTGGAACTCTCTGCCCGGAGGGAGTGTGGTGGAGGCTCCTTCTTTGGAAGCTTTTAAACAGAGGCTGGATGGCCATCTGTCAGGGGTGATTTGAATGCAATATTCCTGCTTCTTGGCAGAATGGGGTTGGACTGGATGATGGTCCAGGAGGTCTCTTCCAACTCTTGGATTCTAGGATTTTATGAGTCTATGATTATTGCCCTGTGACGGCCTGGGCACGTTGGTTTCCTCTCTCTCTCTCTCGGGCCAAAGCCACTGACTCCGTCCTGGTCCGTCTCTTAAAATGGAAACAACAGGCCAGGCGTTTCCAACCTCAAGGCAGAAGAAGTTCACTGAACCGGTGGCGCTCAGTTCCAACAACTCCAAAACTGGTCCTGATGCCAAGCCGTGGGGTTTGCTTTCCCTTCTGCATTACAGAAAGGAATGTCCTGTGGCCAAATCAGAGCCAAAAAGCACCTCCCGCCCACCTTCTCTCCTCCCTTCATCTGTTTTGCATTCCCGGCATAGGGATAGAGAGCATCACCCTCCGTCTGGAAATTGCAAAACGCTTTCATATGCAAGTTGTAGTTACTGGGATGTATAGTTCACCTACAATCAAAGAGCATTCTGAACTCCACCAATTTTGTACCCGGCCTTTCTCACCCCTGCAAAGGGGGGGGAACGGGGACTCAAGGCGGCTGACAACTACAGCAAGTTTCAATGCCACTTAACAGAGTTGTAAAATATCTCCCATAAAGTAAAAACAGGGTGAACTACAACTCCCATGTTCCAAGGTCAATCACCCCTCAAACCCACCTCGATTCACAGTTGGCCATGTTGGGTTTGTGTGCCCAAATTTAGTCCAGATCCAGTATCAGCTGGGTTCAGTGCTCTCCGGATGCGGGTGAACTACAACTCCCAAAAATCAAGTTCAATTCCCTCCCAAACCCCTGCAATATGTTCAGTTGGTCATGAGGCTTCTTTGTGCCTAGTTTGGTCCCAATCTCTTCTTGGTGGGGGTCACAGTATCTCTGGATGTAGGTGAACTACAACTCCCAAAAATCAAGGTCAATCAATTCCCCCCAAACCCCTGCAATATGTTCAGTTAATCATGGGGCTTCTTTGTGCCTAGTTTGGTCCCAGTCTTTTGTTGGTGGGCAACACAGTACCTCTGAATGCAGGTGAACTGCAACTCCCAAAAATCAAGGTCAGTTTCCCTTCCTCCCACCCACCCCCCAAATCCCTGCAGTATGTTCAGTTGATCATGGGGGTTCTCTGTGCCTAGTTTGGTCCCAGTTTATTGTTGGTGGGGGTCACAGTACCTCTGGATACAATTGAACTACAACTCCCAAAATCAAGGTCATTTCCCTCCCACCCAAATAATCCCTGCAGTATGTTCTGTTGATCATGGGGCTTCTCTGTGCCAAGTCTGGTCCTGGTCTAATGTTGGTGGGGTTCACAGTATCTCTGGATGAAGGTGAACTACAATTTCCAAAAATCAAGGTCAGTCAATTCCCCCCAAACCCCTGCAATATGTTCAGTTGATCATGGGGCTTCTTTGTGCCTCGTTTGGTCTCAGTGTTTTGTTGGTGGGGGGTCACGGTACCTCTGGATGTAGGTGAACWACAACTCCCAAAAATCAAGGTCAATTCCCTCTCAAACCTCTGCAATATGTTCAGTTGGTCATGGGGCTTCTCTGTGCCAAGTCTGGTCCTGGTCTAATGTTGGTGGGGGGGTCACAGTATCTTTGGATGCAAGTGAACTACAACTCCCAAAATCAAGGTCATTTCCCTCCCACCCAAATAATCCCTGCAGTATGTTCAGTTGGTCATGGGGCTTCTTTGTGCCAAGTCTGGCCCTGGTCTAATGTTGGTAGGGGCCACAGTATCTCTGGATGCAGGTGAACTATAACTCCCAGAAATCAAGGTCAATTTCCTCCCAAACCTCTGCAGTATGTTCAGTTGGTCATGGGGCTTCTCTGTGCCAAGTCTGGTCCTGGTCTAATGTTGGTGGGGGGTCACAGTATCTTTGGATGCAAGTGAACTACAACTCCCAAAATCAAGGTCATTTCCCTCCCACCCAAATAATCCCTGCAGTATGTTCTGTTGATCATGGGGCTTCTCTGTGCCAAGTCTGGTCCTGGTCTAATGTTGGTGGGGTTCACAGTATCTCTGGATGAAGGTGAACTACAATTTCCAAAAATCAAGGTCAGTCAATTCCCCCCAAACCCCTGCAATATGTTCAGTTGATCATGGGGCTTCTTTGTGCCTCGTTTGGTCTCAGTGTTTTGTTGGTGGGGGGTCACGGTACCTCTGGATGTAGGTGAACTACAACTCCCAAAAATCAAGGTCAATTTCCTCCCAAACCTCTGCAGTATGTTCAGTTGGTCATGGGGCTTCTCTGTGCCAAGTCTGGTCCTGGTCTAATGTTGGTGGGGGGTCACAGTATCTTGATGCAGGTGAACTACAACTCCCAAAATCAAGGTCATTTCCCTCCCACCCAAATAATCCCTGCAGTATGTTCAGTTGGTCATGGGGCTTCTTTGTGCCAAGTCTGGCCCTGGTCTAATGTTGGTAGGGGCCACAGTATCTCTGGATGCAGGTGAACTATAACTCCCAGAAATCAAGGTCAATTTCCTCCCAAACCTCTGCAGTATGTTCAGTTGGTCATGGGGCTTCTCTGTGCCAAGTCTGGTCCTGGTCTAATGTTGGTGGGGGGTCACAGTATCTTTGGATGCAGGTGAACTACAACTCCCAGAAATCAAGGTCATTTCTCTCCCACCCAAATAATCCCTGCAGTATGTTCAGTTGGTCATGGGGCTTCTCTGTGCCAAGTCTGGTCCTGGTCTAATGTTGGTGGGGGGGGGGGGGTCACAGTACCTCTGGATGTAGGTGAACTACAATTTCCAAAAATCAAGGTCAGTCCCCCCGCCCAAACAATACCCCCTGAAGTATGGTCAGTTGGTCATGGGGCTTCTCTGTGCCAAGTCTGGTCCCAGTCTATTCTTGGTGGGTGGCACAGTACCTCTGAATGCAGGTGAACTGCAACTCCCCAAAATCAAGGTCAACTCCCTCCCAAACCTCTCCAGTATATTCAAATCGTCATGGGGCTTCTTTGTGCCTAGTTTGGTCCCAATCTATTCTTGGTGGGGATCACAGTATCTTTGGATGCAGGTGAACTACAACTCCCAAAAATCAAGGTCAGCATTTGGGGGTTCGTGTCGTTGCCCTTAGAGGTGTTCCAAAGCAGGGAAACTACAGAGCCAGGGTCTCTTGCTCAGCAGGAAGCCGCAATGGTTGAGTGTGGAGGAGGAGAGCCTTTGCAGGCCAGGAAAGCTCAGGAAAGCAGGGCGGTGGGCCAAGTGTGGTGGTTTCCAGATGGGGAGGCCGCCCAGGAGGCACGTTCCCTCCCCACGTGAGCCAGGGATTGGCCCTGGAGACACGTGGCTTCCACGCCAGAGACACACGTGCCGCGGTGGCGGGGTTTCCTCCAGCCTCGGGAGCCAAAAAGTGGAAACGTGCCGCCGCCCCCGAGGCCTCTTTCCTGGAAGGAAACTCTGGCTGTGGCTTGAAAAGTTGGAACGGAATCTGCAGCAACTGCAGCCCGGAACCTGGAAAGGGAACCCACAACACACTCTCGCCGACATTTAAACCAGTGGTTCTCAACCTTTCTGATGCTGTGACCCCTTAATACGGTTCATCA